GACTACATAGGGTTGCTGTGAGCTGGGGGCCAGCCTGGACTACATAGCATTCTAAGACAGCCAGAACTACACAGCAAGAGTTCCAGAAACCAAAACCAGACAGACAAACAAGCGCAGAGCTAAGGAGATGGCTCAGTGAGGGAGAGCATTTGCTGTACAAGCGTGAGGATCTGAGTTCGAATCCCTACTTCTGTAAAAATCCATCCCTCAGCCCTGCGGAAAGAGGACAGCTTGGGTTTGCTGGCTGCCAACCTGGTCCAGCCTCAGTGAGAGAGGGAACAAGGTACTGTGAGAGAGTGTGAGGCACTAGTGTGAGACACTGCCTCTGACTCATAGAGGAAAAGGGGAGGGGGGGACAGTGAGCGGGAGAGAGGGGAGGAGGAGGGAGGGGTGAAGGAAGGAAAATCTGTTTTCTCTCTTCCAATTGCTCTGCAAATAAACACTTATGAATTTTACATGTTTTCTGACCCATGACACAGTGACTCCGAGACAGGGCAGGAGAGCCCTGCACCTCACCTGGTACGTAGATGTAAATGTGCCGGCCTTCAATCTCGCTCTCCTCCGTCTGAGTGTGGTTGTAATAGCAAGTGTACCATCCGGTGTGGGCCGCCGAGGCGTTGACCACTTCCAGCACCGTCACAAAGAGGCCGCTGTTATTCTCCTCGCTTCTGATTTCCACGTTGGGGTCCTCTTCTTCAGACATGGGGTGCTGCCAGCTCACTTCACTCTCCCCGAAGCATCTCAGAGAAAAGGAGGAATTCAGCGGCACAACCTTCTCATTCTCGTTCGGGAGGATAGAGGGTAATAAGAGCTGGCAGAAGACGAGGCTCGGCCCTGTAACAAGAAACAGCCTTTGAATAGGGTGAGCCAGAGAGGGTGGCTTCGCCCGAGCACTGAGAGCGGCCACAGTGGCAGTCGCACGAACAACGGCCATTTCTACGTGAAACCCAGTCTCTCTCTCATGAAAGGCCCCCCATTATGACAGCCACCACATCTGCTGAGAGCAGCAAGTGTTCCAACGGCCTCAACAGCCCCACCAAATCCCCCCCCCCAGATTCACCCCTCCAAACACTCAAATGAATAAAGGATGTCTGATCCCAATTCCATACTTCACACTTTTATGTGTGACCGTAAAATATCCCAGTGTGGGCGGAGCTCAAGCGCATATGGCTTCTTTATCGTGCATATGCCCCGCAGAAGGTTTCCTTGGTTAAAAAAAAAAAAAAAAAAAAAGGCAAAAGTGGGCAGGAGATGTGAGAAGAGGGGCAGAGAGATAGAGCAGACAGCATAGCGCACAGAGGAGGAGCTCTGGGCGCATTCCAGAATCACACATCTTTCCACGCTGCTGTCTTCTGGCACACCATCTCCCCATAATGATTTCCAAAAGCCGAGGCAGGAAGACATGAGTTTAAATCCACAAATAAGAAATAAAACCCAGGGGTGGAGGGGGGGCGGTGAAATTCATCTCCAAGCTTCGAGTTTCAGGCTAGCGTCCCTCGGCTATAGAGTGAAAGGAGGAGACCTATTATGGCTTAATTATTAACTAATAGTCTCCAGTTTCCCTCGGCGCCTAACTGTAGGGTAATATGGCCGCACATAAACATGTGGATGAGATCTAAGGAGTGCAGGCGCGTGCTCTACCACTGAGTGTCTCCCTCGCTCTCTTTTGACTTTTTTTTTTTTTAAAGGAAGGGTCTCACTGTGTAGCCCTGGCTGGCCTTGAAGTTTTGATCCTCCTCCTCCAGCCTCCAAGTAGCTGGGATTACAGGCACAAGTCACAAAACCTGGTGAAAGAGTGCCCGAGTCTTCATTTTATTTGAGTATGCTCGGATTGATCGGTTCTTCTTTACTGCAAGCCCATCCCAGGGAGAGGAAGAGAGTGGTGGGCAAATACGGAAAACATCTCCATGACAAAAATATTCATAACCCTCAGACCCCTGACAGGAGACACTTGTTTCGAAATGAAATGAGTGCCACTCAACGAAGGGCGCCAAAGGTTCCTGGTCACCCCAGAGGGCTGTTTGTTTCTTCTCACCCACTTTGGGCCTATATGTGGATGAAGAGGACCACAGCGCTCAGAAAATAAGCATTAAGTTCCCTGGGACAGTGAGTTAAGAGGACCAGGATGTTTGTGGGGCTACATACCCGTGAGGAGACAGCTGAGGGCCAGGAAGGCCTGGTGGGAGGTCCCCATAGCTCCTGAGAACTGCAAAAGACAAAAGCCCACACAAACAGCATTAGTCAAATGGAAAGCCACTGTTAAGCCAGGTTCTCCCACAATGGGAAGCCTTAAAGGTACCATTTCAGCAGAAGCATGTCCTAGCTTAAGGGTAACAGCTAATACAGGAAGACGGCTAAAAGTAAAGTGCAGAGTCTCATAGTTGTGCCAGGGTCTGGAGACACTGTCTCCGAGAGAGAGAGAGAGAGAGAGAGAGAGAGAGAGAGAGAGAGAGAGAGAGAGAGAGAGAGAGAGAAATGCTATGGGCTTTTTCCCCGGCATCTAAGGGGGGAAGTTTCTGTCACCCACAGGCTGCCGCCTGCTTCATGTCATGGTTCATTGAGGGTTTGAATCTTCCAACAATCAGAAAAGTTCCCCGGACTGGAACAAATAATTGGACAATAAAATGTGGTTTCAAGGCAGACTAACCCACGTAGCTTCAAGGTGGCCTTGAACCTTGCATGACAGCATGCAAGAACCTAGGTGTGCAAGAGTCTATGTTCTTGTGGAACCTGTACATACAGGTACATACATAATATGTACATACATATTAGAAGCTTGGAAAGCCCAGGGCATGAACGAAGAACCACTAAAGAGAACAGGAGAGAGGCCTGGCACGCTTGAGAAACACCTTTAATCCCATCACTGGGGGAGATATGGAGAGCATCACTCTTGTCGCGGTAAGAACGCAGTGTCTGTGCTGACCAAGTTCTGGGGAATAGAAAACCTCCTTCCTAGAAATTTCTCCACAGGGCCCTCGACAGAGGGAGACTTCCATCTGCCCCTCACAGTTTCTTGCTGCCAGGCACAAAAGTTTAGCAAGTGATCCAAAATCACACAGTCAGGGGCAGTTGAGTGAATGTATGAGTATATGCCTGTATATACATATTCATACGTACACATACATATTCATGCATGTGTACAGGTGTGTGTGGAAGCCAGAGGCTGATGTCAGATATATTCCTCAATCACTCTACACTGTTTTTATTGTTTTGAGACGAGCACTCTGCGAACAGGCCAGCACTTCCCAGGGATCTGGAAAGGTCAGCCTTTTGGTGCCCATTCTTTCCCAATACAGCCTGCCCCTGACCCCTCTCCTCTGCACGCCACTATTAGAAAACCTAATTGCAGGGTTGGGAATCAAATGCACTTTTGAAAGATGTCGTCTGGACTAATGGTCTCTGAGGATTTTGGCAGGTGCTGGAGGATGCAGGGTTTCCAAACTGCTGTGGTGACAGCCACGGGGGTGGGGGGGGGGGGCACAGAGCCAGGCTGGTTGCCTGATTTACCACAATTAGCAGTAAGGGCCTGTGTGTTTGTACACACCAATATCAGCCTCCCGCCGATAATACACTCAGCCAGCTTCAAAGCGGCTCCCAGCGCCAGCTTGCGGGCTGGGGTTCTATCGCATTAGCATGGCATCCTGTAGTTCTCCCGGGAGGCTTACCAGCCACGGATCTTTCCAGCCCCACTAAGCTCAAGAGAAGGATTCTGTGCACTGGAAGAGCAAGCTCTGAGTACATTCTGCCCCAGCCAGGCTCCAGCAAATTTCCTCCTGTGTGTCCAGATACGGGGTGCGCGTGCTGCCAGGGACGACGATTTCGTGGCGCACAAAGAGGGCAATGAAAACAGGGCCTCTGAGAGGGTGATAACGATGCAAATAGTGGACATTCACGTGTGTCTGCTGGAGATCTCAAACTTCCGTCTCTGATAACAGCCATTCCCTGGCTAGGAAAGCCGGGGTATTGATGAAGCTGCAAGCCGTTACTCTTCCGCAACCCAGACGATCTAGCCATGAGTAACTGTAGTATGGCTGCCCCGCAGTGAGAAACAGAGACCCACGTGGGAGACAGAGACTCCACGTACTTGCTGCCCATACTGAAGAGCTCAGGAAGTCTTGGTTTTACTGGTCTTTTCCCCCACCCTGCAAGAGCCATTCCCTCACAGCCCCCAGTCTGGAACATCGCGGCACAGACATACAGACAGAAGTAATTGCAACTTCAGAAATCTAAGGTCCATAGCACTGTGGGTCCGTGTATGGGGATTAACACTTTTGCAGAAAAGAATAACAGATTTGGGAGGTGGGGTGGGGTGGGGGTTGAGTTTTGTTTTGTTGTTATTTGTTTTTTGCTTAGTTGGTTTGGTTTGGTTTTTTGAGACAGGGTTTCTCTGTAGCTTTGGAGCCTGTCCTGGAACTTGTTCTGTAGACCAGGTTGGCCTTGAACTCACAGAGATCCACCTGTCTCTGCCTCCCGAGCGCTGGGATTAAAAGTGAGTACCATCACTGCCTGGTTTGTTTTGTTTTTGAGACAGGGTTTCTCTGTCTTTCCTGAAACTCACTCTGTAGACCAGACTGGCCTCAAACTCAGAGATCCCCCTGCCTCTGCCTCTCGAGTGATGGGATTAAAGATGTGAGCCACCACTGCCCGGCTGGAATAACAGATTTCTCTAAAAAAGAAAATCATTAATGGGACAGGTGATATGTTCAGGTGACTTAAGATGCTTGCCATCAAGCCAGTTGGTCTGAGTTAGACAAGACCCAAGTGGTGGAAAGGGAGAGACCCAACGCCCACAAATTATCCTCTGGCCTCCGCATGTGGACTGTGGCCCACACACAAATAATAAATATAGAAATGTACTTTTAAAATAAATAACGCATCAGTGAGGCATTGTGATATAGAGAATGAGGATCCAGACTTCAAGGCTAGCCTGGGCTATAAGAGACTTTATCGCAAATAAATAAACAGATAAATATCGCTTCTTTCTCCCGCGTCATTCCACGTTGCACTTCGGTCTCCAGCCTCCATATTCACAGCTCGACAGCGTGTCGCAGTTGGAGAAAGAAGCCAGAGTGTGAGACTGCAACCATAACCTCTCAGGGAGGTGCCGTGCTTCACCTCTAGCCTGCTAGTCTCATTCCTTCTCAGAAGACGGGACGCATCACATCTCGCTTCTGATCCCCGCTGTCACTCCGTCAACGCTCTGAACTTTGGTCTTAGCTCGAAGCTAAAACCATCCTTCCCTGGCTTGCCTGTTTGCCTCCCTGTGTCCTAAGAGGACCAACGTTTATAGTTTCATTTCAAATGCTTGGATGCGCACTTTGACTCTCTGCAGACTCCTAAGATGGATCAGATGATGCCAGCCATAACTTTTAACTCCTCCTTACTGGAGGCCCCACAATGGTTTCTTCTACCTAGTGGGGAAGAGGATGGAAACCTCTCGCTGGTATCACTGTGACAATTCTGCAGCATTAACTAATGCGTCTAGTCCTAAAATACAGAAGCAAACCTGATGGCAGCCGCTGTCTCGGCCCACCCTTTTCCCCTCTCTACCTTTCTAGTTCGGGACACAAAGCCAGGTTGACCTTGAACTCAAGACCCTCCGACTTCAGGCAGGCACTGCCACACTCAGTCATCCCAGTGCAACAACAGTGAAAAACACTGAAGGTGCCTCTCTTACCCGACACCACAGGAGACCACAGGATATGTTGCAAAGTAAACAGCCTGCAAGCAATTCAAAAGCCTTTCTTCCAGAAGTGCTGCCCCTTGCCCTGAGGCGGGAGTCAACTTCCCAGACACCAAGGGTACGAGGCTTGGAATCCACTGCACAACCACTGGACACTGAAACCCACCCCACCCTGTCCCAATTAAAGACCACTGGGGACTCTCAGCCCCAAAGCCGCCCGGGGATCTTCAAGACTCGGATTTTTGAGGCGTGGCTCAATTCAGCTCTAAGTTAATTCTAACTACGAAAATAACACATCTCGTTGTTTTGTTTTTCCCCCTCTCTCTTTACTCAGTCTCAGAACTGCAGCTCAGGCAACTTAAGTATGGGTCTTCACTGGTGGCAACTTCCGGGTTTTCTAGCCCGAAGTATAGTTCCCAGGACCTGCGCCCCGCCCAGGCCTAGGGTGTATTTGGTCTGCCAGAGAGCACTATTAGATATTCCGAGAGGGGAAAGGGTTAGGACACTTTTACCCGCAAGCATTTTAAAGGCCAGCCTGGGTTCATAAACCTTTCTGTTCTAAGTGAATAGAACAGTTTGGTCACTGGCTTTAAATCACCAAGCCCACATACATACTAGGTTTGCGGAAGGTAAAAACCCTGCTATCTCTCTACAGGGTTCCATATCTCTCTACAGTCTGTTCCATAAACACTGTTCAATATGTAAGTGTAAAAGATTAACAACTAGAGCAGGCATGGTGGCCCAAGCCTTTAATCCCAGCGCTCGGGAGGCAGAGGCAGATGGATCTCTGTAGAGGCCAACCTGATCTACAGAGCAAGTTCCAGGACAGGCAAAGATTCACAAAGAAACCCTATCTCAAAAGCCAAACCAACCAAACAAAGATTAACAATTAAGCCTCAGTGCTGCTCAGTGGTACAGTGCTCACCTAGCATTTGAAGGGACTGAATGTCGCCGCCAGACCCGCCTCCCCCACTGCACACAAGTTAAGTTGGAAACTACACAAACGTCAGAAAAATAATATCTGTTCTTCCAGTGATTGTTGCAGATTCATAGGAGAGACAAATTAGTAAAATCATCTTCGTGCTCCTCGAGAGCAAAAGGAATACTGGTTAAAGTCACTGATTGATCTCTGAGTTCAATTCCCAGCACTCGCTTGGCGGATCAGACCCCAGGACACCCTCTTCTGGCCTCAGAAAGCACCAAGCATGAACATGGCTCATATGCATCCACCCAAAGACTGAAAATAAAATTTAAAAGAGAGAGAGATGGAAACAGAGGGAGGAAGAGAGAGGGAGAGGAAGATGGAAGCGAGAGAGAGATTGGAATTTGCCAATTTGGAGTTTGCCAAGCCAAATTAGAGATATATGCAGTTCTTCAGAGTGGACAGCAGATGGCAGTGTTGGTTCAAGAACCAGCATCCTGACGTTCACTGTGGTGCAGACGCCATTGAAACCAAATCGGACCAAAAATGTTCCAACTTTTACAATCTCTTAGGTTGCACTTTTAGGTTTCGTGATGACTTGCAGTTAAACTCCAAAGCATGAAAGCAGAAATAACAAAACTGTCGCCTAAAATGCTTAAATTCCCTTGGGGGCCCCAAGAAAATTCGGTAAGGGACAAGCATAATGGACAGCATCACCTTACCATCAGCATTATTACCATCACCATTGCCCAGAGAGGGACCAAGAGTCAGCCGTGCGGTGGGAATCGGAAAGAGAGAGCTAGTAACCAGGCCGCAAAGACTTAGCAGAACTGGCCACTTGGGTTTAGGGGAAACAACACTCTTTGCCTTTCCACCCCTCCAGGCATGAAGGGCACCTGGACCGTGCCAAGAGAGGCCACGACGCCTTTCCCTAGCATTCCATTGTCACTGCCCAGAAACCCACCCCCGCGGGGTCCCTGAAGCTTGCTGCTTAGAAACAACTGTTCCCTTCCTCAGTAACTCAGGGTCGTAAAACAAACATCAACAGGCCTGTACGCACAAGCAACGTCTGCCCTCCAAGATAGTGCTGGGTTGGAAATCGTGTCCTTCCGCCCCCCCTCCCCACTCCCCGCCACTTCTGCTAAATTATGACGCCCCAACTCTCCTTCTCAAACCCAGACCCTTAGCCCATCCTCGCCCACACAGTGCCTCTGCGCCTACGCAGTGCCTGCAGGGAGACTCAAGAGCGACCCAGGTAACCCCAAACTCTGGTGCACTGGGCTCCCGGTTCCAAGCTCCGGGGCCCGCGACTCCGACCGCCCAAGGCTGGTGGGACAGGGGTCGCTCTGCGGGAGCCACTAGAGGGCGCGGCAGCCCTGCTGATCCTACCCGCTGTCTCCGCCGCCGCCCACAGCTCAGGATCGCTGTCCCCAACAGCGCAGCGCTCAGCGCGCCTACTTCTCCGGGCGGTTCCGCGCTGGCAGGATGCAGATCGACACACACACGCGCGCGCGCGCGCACACACACACACACACACACACACACACTCAGCACACACACAGACGCACGAACGCACGCACGCACACCGAACACCCTGACTCCCTTTGCCTGCCTTAAGCTCTCCGCCAACAAGATCACCACCGGACAGGAGGAGACGCAGATCTGCCCCGGGATCCAAAACCCCTGGTTCGCCGAGCTCAGGCCTCCGGAGGCCGCCGCGCCCCAGCCTCTATACTCAGCGTTTGCATTGTTTTCAACTGCGACCTGGGAGGACGCTGGGCAGGGAGGAGGGATAGGAGCCTCAGGTTTAGGGTTACAGGCGAGCTGCAGCGCCTCCTATAGGCCAGAGTCAACGTCGCCCGCAGCCGCCTGAGCCGAAGGCTGGACCAACCCTCTGTTGAATTTGGTCTTGAGTGCCCACCTTGCCCCTTTGTTGCCCTGTCCCTGGGCACCCCAGCTCCCATTCGTGTCTCTAGCTTTTCTTCCTCCCGGGAGGGAGGGAATCGAATTAGAAGGCCTGGGACAGTACTCCCCAAGACCGAGACTTTCTTTAATCCCCCTCCTACCATCTAATTTCCCAACTCGTATTAGTAGTTCGACCCTCGGTTTAAAACAAAAGAAAAAGACACTGAACCACTAACAGGCACGGGTCGGGCCGGGGATCAGAATGCCGTCCCGAAAAGCTGCTTGCCCCGACTCTGCATTCAGTCCGCGCCGCGCCGAGTACCTCAACTAGAGCCTCTCCACCTCTCTTCCCAAGGCCGATGCCTCCGGCCAACCGAACCCTCGGGGCCCGACTATCGCTAAGCCTCACCTTTGAGTCATCTATCCAACTTTTCAGCCCTTCGTCTAGAATTGCCACTTTCCAACATCGGCTACCTTTAACCTAATCACAACTCACTTAAGTCCAGAGGGGTCCCACCCTTCGAGGTCGGAGGCAGAAAGCTGGTCACCACGTCCCCAGGTCGCGAGCAGCCTAAGTCCCATCCGCAGGAGGCAGAAATCCCGCCCGCCTGGGCGCCTGACGCGTTTGCAGCTGGAAGCTCGGCCCGAAGCCCCTCCCCCTGCATCTCTCCCTAGCCGGCGTCTGGGGAATAAAGTTGAAGCCCCTGAGACGAGAACTGGGAAACTGTGTTCTGAATCCCTGCGGCTCTCCAGACTAGAGCAAAAGCAGGGAACAGTGACTAATGGTGGAGTTGGGCTGTGTTGACTACCCTCTCTCCGGCGAGCTAAGGAAGTCCAGCTGTACTAGAGTCAATCCAAAAACAGGACCTTAGCAAGAGTTCTGAAGCAGGAACCGACCACGGCGACAAACTGGGGTGGCAAAGGCACTCACACATGCGCACGCGAACGCGCGCGCACAGACACACACACACACACACACACACACACTCCTGCTGGGGAGTCGAAGGAGTCCTAATCAAGAGGAGTGTAGAAAGGAAGAGGCAGAAAGGGAGGAGGAGAAGGGAAGCCTGGGTTCGGGGGAAACCAGACCACAAGAGAGGTTATGTAAAAGCCACCGCCAGGGCGACTGCAGAAGTACGCACTCCGAGGAGCGCTCCCTCCTCCCCCGCCGCCCTCGCGCCTCTTTTTGCAACTTTGGGTGTTACATCTGGTGATGTGCAGCCGAGGACCATAGTGCGGTTTTTACACTAGCGGCCTCAACCGGCTCCAAAAGGCTGCCTAGTCAGATCCGAAGCCATCCAGGAGAAGCACGTCAGTCCAAAACATTGAGCAATTCTGCCACGAAGCCAAAAAACCGTTTCCCACACCGCCCAGCCTAGGGCTTTTCTGGAGAGTTCTGTCCGACTCTGGGCAACCCAGACATAATAAGGGCCACCTACGCCCCCTCCCAAGTTTAGGTTCCCTACACACATCCTCGAGGGTGGACCTAGTGACAATCTCCTCCAGGCACTTTCCTTACATCCTGAGGTCTTAGCAGGACTGGGAGCTCTTAGTGCGGGTCCTGAACACAGCGGTAAAACCGATCCTTTGTAGACAATGAGACCAGCACTTTCCTTCTGGCCAAGACCAGTGGCCAAATCACTGGCAACTCCTGCACACCTGGCCGCAAGGCTCTGGCTTGGTCCTGCTGCAGACTGAGGCCGAGCCTTGCGCTGGAGACTGGTCCACACCCTTTCCAAACAGAGAGAATCGCCGATCCCACCGAGGAGGTTTCCAAACCAAGCGGACATCGCCTGCTTCCCCGGCACTGCCAGAGTTTGGGGAGAGTTAATCTCACGTGTGTAAACCGATTTCCACGGGGATGAACGGTGAAGGACGGAGGGCTGCTCGGAGACCGCTCCTAAACCTTGCAGGAGAGTGAGTGTTCGGAAGCAAGGAAAGGGGACACCGGAGGGGTTGCACTCAGGCGGCCAGTGCGGTGCAAGCGTCACCCGGGCAGGGCACAGAGGCACCCAGGTTCCAGTACCCGTAGGTAGGAAGAGAGAGTAGTTAGTTTCTCGCCTTTCTGCTTACCTGAACTCACGACTGTCCTTTCAGGGTTGTCCCTAACTTCTTCCCCTGAAAATTAGCCCCTAGCCGAAGATCTCGCCTCTGGACTGCCTGCGGCCAGGACTAAGCAACAGTCAGGCCCCCACCCCTGCAGAAAAGACTCCACCGAAGACGCGGGCGAGCAGAATGGGGGTGGGGACTACAGAGCACAATGAGGGCCCCTCGGAGTGCAGTTTGAAATTCCTCAAATCCCAGTTGCTGGAATGCGAGGCCAGAACGACTTCTTCACTCGGGGCCAAATGTGTTTGTCATTATTCCAGATCGTTCGTCTGCGCCGCCGCCAGCGTCGCTGGGGTGAGAGGCGCGCGATCCGAGCGCGCTGCAGATCCCGCCCGCGGCTTCCAGCACCCAAGTGACTCGGCCCGAACGCTCCGGGGCCCTGGGAGCCGTCACCCTTCACCCGCAAGCCCTTCTGCTGGTCCCGCTGCTGCCACCCTGCGCACAAGTCTGGCCGCAGCTCTCTCCAGCAGCAGTGCCGTCCAGTAATTACGAGGGATCGGCTGGCGCCTTGTGTACCCGGCCGGCATCCGAGGTCCGTCCTCCTCCTCCTCCAGCAGAGCCCTTCACACCTCCCTTTCTCCTAGTCCTTTCCCGAGCCCCACTCGGTGCCCCTCTCTCCCACACCTCTCCTGGCGGCCCCCATCCCCCGGCTCCGAGCCACACCAACCGCTACAGCGCAGTCCCGCCAAACCGCGGGCGACGAATGAAAATAGTCATTAAAAACCTGTCCTCTCCCAGGACCCACTGCCAAGAGGCCAAACACCGCTGCTTCCACCCCCAGTGTTACTTGGTGTTCGTCCCAGTATGCACGGATGCCGCCCCCACCCTGAAGACGAAACCTCAAAAATGTAAGGCTAACAATTTCTTTGGGAAGCTATAGGATTGTTAGAAAACATTGCTTTTAAAAATAGGTCTGGAAAAAATTTTTTAGTCCTTGGACTAACTCTCTGGTTACCCCAACCCCAGTGAAGTTTATTCAGAATAAACTACTTTCTGCAAACACTGCTGGAATTCAGCTACTTTTTCCTCTCGTTGCCCAAATTTTGAAATTACTTCGCTACTTCCAGCCCCAAGATATGATCAGGGACTTCCTTTAGAAACAAAAGTCACTTTTCCCTCTCCCTTACCTTCTCCTTCTATGTCAATTCGCAAGGAAAATCCTATATACGGAGTAAAAAAGTAAGCCCCAAGCTTCCAATGCGCCCTTGCAGCTCGCCTGTTTGTTTCTCTCCCTCAAGCCCCAACAGAAATGGGCTCAAAACCCGCATTTTGTAATTGATTCAATGTTATAGTCCATCCTCCTAAAACTAATCATTTGCTCAAAGTAAATAGCTGTCAGGAAATGAAGTCCCCCCCCCTTGGCCTCTTCAAAATAAAAGTTTCCCTCCGACTCCTCGCTCTCTGAATCTCTCCGACTTCAAATCTCTCCTTTCCTTCTTGCTCTTATGCAATCAGGGGGTCCAGTCCCAACCCCCAGACTTCAACAACAACTGGGGGGGGGCGGGGAGAAGCAAACCAGATGGGGTGGGGGTGGCAGAAGGGGGAGGTGTTGACTTTCTGCCGGGAAAGAGGTTTCGTGAAACTACAAACAGCCTTCATCTCCAAAATGAGTTGGCTTCCCAATTGAGGGGATCTTTTCCTGTGCTGCTATTGTTATGTATTCTCCTCGAACAGAAAATACACGTAAAATTGCTGCTAATTTCCAAAACGAATATAAATCTGGAATGCAAAACTTCCCTTGTGTAGGTACTCCGGGCCCAGCTAGAAATACGGCCCTGGGGAGAAATCCTAACGCTGTTGCGTCGTTTTGAACTGGGGGTCTTAAGGGAAAGTGCCGGTGTTGTTGCTAATCCTTTAATGGGATTAGGAAACGGTGGCGTCTAATGGGAAGATGACGGGTTTTGAAAGACAGGAGTATGAGATGTTGTGCAAATAACGGTTGTTCAGCGTAGGTACCTTTGGATTGTTCGCCGGAAGAACGACCTTTGTCTCTTTGGAGCCACTTATCTGGTCGTGCCTTTGTTTTCGGGATTATCTGGTCCTCGTTTCTATCTTCCTACCGAAAGGCTCAGGCTAGGCGTGACTACCACACGACTGTGGGCTGCCTCTTGAAGGCAGAAGTATTTTGACCCTCCTAAATTCCATCCTATCCGAGTGGGTAGTATCCAACCAACCGACCCTACGAAAGCTTTCGGGATGTTGAGCCACAAACCCGGGAACCCTAAATACCCAGCGAGAAACAGCTGGGACACACAGCGATCCTGCCGGCGAGGGAAAGGGGGCGCTGACACTCCAGAAACCAGCCAGACCTGGGGCTAAGCGGGGCTTCCCAGAGAGGGTGGGGGAAGGGAAGGTCTTAGACTTGCTCTCTATTTTTTAAGCCTCTTGGTGGGGGGAGATGAAAGCAGTCCTTTATCTCCCCCTCCCCACCCCATCTTACACATCAACATAAAAATGGACAAGCTGGCCAGGTAGACGACAAAACGTTGAATAAACCTACTCTTTCTTCCGCAAGAGAGTGGACGTGGAGCTGAAGGGAACCACTGAGAAGGTCTCCCCAAAGACGGAGTACTATGCCTAAATGAGACAGGATTGTGGGAGTGTCGGGGCTCAGGAAGAGGATGCCTGGGCCTGGGCTGGGAGCCCCAGTTCTCCTCCGCCCTTCTGCACGCCTGCCTCTGGTGTATCTTCAGCTCGGGTGACTGCCTCGTTCGCTATTACTTCCACATGTTCCTTCAGGAAATCATTGAAGGCGAAATGTATGAACAGCCCCTTGTTCGGAATGCAAGCGGGATACCGTAATGTTTGTAGATAATGAACAAGATGCTAAGGACTCCTGCACACACACGCACCAGACACGCGAGACACACACACAAGACACATACGCCACACACACACACACACACACAGAGAGAGAGAGAGAGAGAGAGAGAGAGAGAGAGAGAGAGAGAGAGAGAGTTCACAATAGAGAAAGGCAAAAGGCAAATCGGGGCTTTTGACTGTTAGAGTCAAGTCGAGGAGATCTAGGTTTTTGTAGTAGGTACCCCAGGAGAGTAGAAGTCGAGGTTGAGATCCTGCAGAGGGTCAGCTCTACGCCACCACCAGCGTCTCTCTCAAGCAGGGCCCCTGCAATCTCCGCCCACAAATGGAAACTTCACAGGTCATTTCAGAGCAGTTTTAAAGGGGTCCGAAAAGCGGGCCGATGTGGGTAACCTGGGGCAGTAACTCCTCAGGCGTTTATAGCAGAGAAGTGGACGAGAATCGAGCACCCAGTTGCTCTTCTGGTAGTAATTACCTGCCTAATTTAAATGATGCCTTTGTTATGATCATTAACAAACATTTGCTAAAGGTTTCCATGTGTGACATTCCCTAAGGTTTAAAGGCCTGGAGTGCCGACTCCGAGGATAGCGCCCCAGTAGGGGGTGGCGCAGGCGAGCAAATGGTTGCGCGAAGATCTCGCTGAGTAGGGACCCAGGGAAGCATCTGCCTTCTCTGCGAAAGGAAAATAAACGCAGTGATCTGAAGCAACCTCGGGACTGGAGGCCTGTGTGCTCCAGCGGTTGGTTTCTTAAACCAGGTCCTGCCCCCGCCCTCCCTCTGCTCATAGGCCTGTTTGAATCGCGTTTTCCGCCCTCCACTCTCTGAGCTGTGGGAGAGGTCCGGTCTGTGCCCGTCACTCAGCCCAGGGTGTCAAGGGGAGGGGGCGAGCCCAGCTCTTGCCAAGTTGTTCCAAAATCCTTCCAGATTGCTCCCTCGACGCCCCAGGTCCTGGGTGGTCTTGGAGCCGAATAAGGCAAAAGCCACTGCCTAACCAAGGTCTTATCTCCCCTTCCTGAACCTCTGTCCCCGAAGTCCTGAGGAGATCAGGTCACTCTAATGGAATGACTTTCTGCTTGGGATATTGTACCACGAACCCAACTTGCTCTATTTGTGGTTGTCAACCCCTTGGGTCTTTTCCCCTGGAGTTGAGAGTGAGGTTTTTCCAGCAAATGAAACCGGAGGGAGGCCCTGATCGCGCGAGGCCGGGAACTTTGGGGAACCGGATGGAAAAGGGCAGCGGGTCTCTCACCCCGGCCTTATGCCCTATGGCCTGCGGGCGACCAGAAATAGGGTACAAGGGTATAAGAGGATGCTGGCTGCTACGGATGATTTAACCTTCCAGAGAGGGTCCCGTGAACTTTTGACAACCACATCAAAATGGTCACTGACAGGAAACAAAATCTACTTTGCATCCAGGTCTCAGAACGCCCCAGCTCCAAGTCCCGCACCCCTAGTCACCGAGTCTTGCAGAGAGAGGCGCCTTTGGGGTCTTTCCCGCGGCTCAAATGCCTCACACAGCAGCGCTGTCTTCTTTGGAGAATTCAGGTCTTTCTGTTGAAGGCCAGTTACAGCCATCAAAGCCGTCACCTGTGAAAATTCACATTCAAACAAACGCGTCGATTTCTTTCAAATAAAGTTGATGGGAAGGACGGGGTTGCGGGGTCTGTCTGGTTTCTTGTTTGAAAATAAAGGGGCATTTGGTCTATAGCAAAAGAAAACGCCTTTGACTGCCCCTTTAACTCCTGACTTCATCTCGTGGAGGTTCCTCCCAGGGCTGGCGAGCCTGGAACAGGCTGGAGACGCGCAACCAGATGTCGAAGTCCCTGTGGGGAGACAGAGCAGGGCTCCACCCCAACCCTGGAGCAACCCCAGCCGAGGGATAGCCCACTCTTGCAAGAAGGGGAAGAGGATTCGGACGAATCCAAAGGGCTGGTGTAACTAGTTACCCACTCTCCAAGACTTGTCGCCCACCTCCTCAGCGGCCCGTGGCTGGCTTACTCCAACTGTACAGGGCCTCCCGGGATCTCCAGGAAGTAGCGAAAAGCAGTTCCCTGGGTCCATGGCCCCCGGGCACGCTCTCTAGGGCTCCTAACACAAAGGCGGGTGATGACCCTAATTGAGGACAAGAGTCTTGCGGCGCAGTCCAGACGAAGCGGGGGCCGCATACCCTTCTGCTCTCTGAACAGCTTTGGCTGGACAGGGCCGCGGGGAACCTGGCCTTCGGACCCCCTCTTCTGCAAGCTACCAGCCCTACTTCTAGGGACCCCGGAGTCAGTCCTACTACCCTCTCCTTCTCCTAGGGCCTTCGGGGTTTTCTTTTCTTTTTTCTTTTT